TATCGGCGTGTTTTTGGGCACGCTCACTCAACGCAATCCCGGCGCATCACATCTAAACGAGCACGTCAAATATGTAACCTATGAGCAAAAATAAAAATAAAAATAAAAATAAAACCGAGAAAAGGTTCATTCTTCCAGTGCAGCCAGTATTCCAATTGCTTCGACAAGGAATTGGTGCTTCCGAGATATTTGTGCTTCGGCCAGTTTTGGGATCGGCCCCGCGTTCTTTTCGTTCAAGTCACGTTTGACAGCAATGCAACTCTTTTAATGCTTAACAACAGTGTGCCTCTGGTGTAGAGGAAATGCTTGAAGTATGCTTTTGCACATGAGGATCGGGTCCAGCTGCAGTATGAATTCCAGGGCACATTGTATTGCTCAAATGCGACCAAATCACGTTTCGTAACAAAAATGACAATGCTATGAATGCCATTTTAGCGGGGCTCTTTAGAATCCGATGAAATGTTGCCATGTTCGGACGCTTCAGCATCAGAACATCTTAATGCACTTTGTTTCGTCTCGGGGACGCGTCTCAATGGCGAGAAACAATAGTCGACTATCGCAATTGTCAAAAGAAACCACCTGTTCCCGACAGTTCCGCTTTTCCCTTAGCCAGAAATTTTGTACAAGACAACGTGCACTATGCTGTGCATTTTTTAAGCGATTTAGTTATTGATTAATAATTAATAACAGGAATCTATCGAAAGCAGCGCTTTTCCGCTTCTATTTTTCGGGTAAGCTCCATCCTTCGTCATTGCATTGCTTGCTGCAAATAGCAAACTTGTACTGTACTCGGAGCAACGCATCATCCCATCCAATGATGCACCTGGTTTCAAATGACCCTATTGGCGCAAAGGGCACACGGTATGCAAAAAGTTGGTTTTTTTTTTATCACTGTCGTATTGGAGCGCCTTGAAGCGTAGGCAGCAAGGAGTTCAATCGCGCGTCGGTCCCGTGCGACAGGAAAAGTTTCAGGCTCAGGGAAAAGCGGAACTGGCGGGAACAGGTGGTTTCTTTTGACAATTGCGATAGTCGACTATTGTTTCTCGCCATTGAGACGCGTCCCCGAGACGAAACAAAGTGCATTAAGATGTTCTGATGCTGACGCGTCCGAACATGGCAACATTTCATCGGATTCTAAAGAGCCCCGCTAAAATGGCATTCATAGCATTGTCATTTTTGTTACGAAACGTGATTTGGTCGCATTTGAGCAATACAATGTGCCCTGGAATTCATACTGCAGCTGGACCCGATCCTCATGTGCAAAAGCATACTTCAAGCATTCCTTTACACTAGATAGGGCCACACCATTATGCATTGAAGAGTTTCATAGTTGATTTTGTTGGTAGTCGTTTTTTATCGATGAATATTCTAATGTATAAAAATGGCATTTATCAGTCATTGAATCACAATGTTACTCATTATAGTGAGCCCATAGCTCGATGTCTGCTCTTGCTGAATGGCTTGACAAATCGGATTTCATGCTTTTGATAGAGAATTATATTAGCAAAAAGCAAGGACATTCCAAATTGTGCCAAAACAACGCCATAAAGCGCCGCTTCTCGAGATTCGGCGTGCCGGCTTGAGGCCGTCACGAATTAAACTCCGAAATGAGCCAAAATCAGGCCGAAGCGCGCCGGTCATTTTACTTTCCGGTTTGCCCAATTCACGCCGCCAGACCCCCATTTCCCCCGGTGCGAGAAAGGGTGGTCTGGAAAATATCGGCCAATTCTCAGCCTCTTTGTTTTTTTGCTGGAAAGAGTGCACTGTAAAATCAAACTTTTAAAAATTTTGTCTGGAAAATGGAAAAGAGGACTCCGGAAAAAATTCGCTGCATTTTTGGCATTTTGGTTTTTTTGCTGGGACAAGCGCACAATAAATTCAAACATGGCGGGATTTGAGGGACCTTTCATTCGCACTTTGGGTGCCTTTTTTGGATGCCGCACAAGCACATAAAACTCTCTTGTCCCAAATTGTTGTTTGGAATCCAGCAGCATGAAAAGAAAAAAAAAGATGGACCTGATATTTTTTTGTCGATTTGTCTCTTCTTTCTTCCTCTATTTTTTTTCTTCTTTCTCCACCCCTTTTTTTTAAATGCAAAATAGGGACGACGACGATCCTGTGCAAGCCATGGAGGTGGACACGGCTGGTTTTACGGACGAGGGCAGCAACAAGCGGCCACGTTTCACGCGGATCGACCGTAGCGATCGGTTTGCCGAGTTGCCGTCCAACACCACGCCGTCCGAGGCCGCGTTCGAGGCTTATTCTGTCAATAATTTTGCGAGCATTGCCGAGCCGCTGTTTGACAAGCTCGCATTGTCCATGCGCACTTCAGGAAGCGGCGCACTAGCGTCCACGCCGTCGCCTGCGAGTGCTCCCTCGACGTCTGCGCCACCCACGGCAGCCACCGGCGGCACATCCAAGCCCGTCACGGACACGGATCTGCTTCAATCGCTGCTGCGCTCCATGTCCGGCGGCGCAGCGGCCAATGCATCGTCGTCGGTCGCCACAAAACAGCAGAGCACCACGGATCTGGACATTGCGATGCAAGCCGCCGACACGGCGTCGCGAGCGTCGCGCTTTAGCAAGAAAGACCACGTCCGCTACAAGACAATCGCCGAAAATATGCATCATCCGGTAAGAAACGATCCCCGTATTGCAATATGCCCGCTCTTCTTTTGACGCGCTTTCATTAGGACCGCGAGGTGGTGCCCGCCGACAAGAAATTTTACGCAAAGATGACCGAAGAATTGCGCGTCGAAAATGAGGAATTCATCGCGCATCAAAAAGAGACCATGTTGTCGTCTGGAATCTATGACATGCTGCATCCCAATGTCGAAGCAACCTTTCAGGTGCGAATCAAAAAAAAAAAAAGACCACGAAAAAAAAAGTGTGGAAAAAAAGTCAATTGAGCTCAATTCTTTGTGTCCTATAGGCGTATATCCGGCAACAACAGCATCGCCAAACGCGCTATCCTGTAAGTCACGCTGCTGACGCGTCACAGAAAGAAAAAAAGAACACGCTGACTTCTGTTTTTTGACAAAAAAAAAAGCAATTTTACGCGTCAGTCAAGCAACTTTCGCTCAAAGACCAGCCGCCTGTCCCTGAAAAATCGGTGCTCGTCTTTACAAAGGAACTGAAACGCCAGGTAAAACGAATTGGGCACGCGTCGCAGGAACCTCTGACGCCAAATTTCTAATTTTTTCTTTTTTTTTTCTTTTTCTTTTTTTTTTTTTGCGCGTAGGGCGTGTGGGCGCCCGTGAGTTTAGGTGCCACGACCGTGCCCAAAAAGTTGGACTTGAGCAAAGATTACCTGCACACCGAAACGTCGACATCAACGCCCAGTCACTACCAGAAAAAGGTAAAATGACAAATATTTTCTGTTATTTTACTCAAGGTTGCGCCAATTGTAGGTTCCCCCTCCCGTGTCCATGGACAAAATGGCCAACGATATCTCGGAAAACGAGACATTGCACATTGTCGCGTCACTGGAGAGCCTGGTCCCGCTGGTCGAACTGGCATCGTCGCTGGGCACGACATTTCGCATCCCGCTGCGCGTCGCCCAGCACGGCGACCATACGACGCTCTTTTTTGACGCGCCTGTGCCCAACCACACGTGGTCTGCCAAGCAGCGCAATCAGCTCGTCTTTGATTGGGCATGGAAAGCCGCCGTGCTCAACTGGCCGCAGGCCATCTCGGTCGACACCAAGCTCACACAGACACAAGACGACACGACAACCGATTCAGGTGAGACCCCCCCTCATTGCACGGATGGGACCATGAGCACCATTTGCTCATTCTTTTACTTTTTCAATTGGCATAGAATGGCACCACGACACGGATGAAAATCACACATACAACATGTGGCGTTTTGGCGACATGAATGTCCTGATCCGGCATCAAGTGGATGGCTTTCTGTCGGCTGTACGTGAGCGAGCAATGGCGGCAATGGGATGGAAAAAGGGTCATTTATTCGTTTTTTGATTTTTTTTGGATAGGATGCCAAGGATGGCGGTAAGCGACATTGCATGATGAGCACGAAGCTTGATTACCAGCATCAGAATGGCACGGACGAGGTGACGACGGCGACGGAGCGCGCCGTCAATTGGTTGCGGTCGTTTGTGGCAGGCCACGCCATTGTCCTCGAGGCACGCGTCGATGTGCCCAATGGACGCGTGTACCACGTGCACAAAAAGAACATGGCCGATATCATGGGCGATAAGTGGCGGCCCATGCAAGAGAGCAACATGCTACACTATCTCTTCCACCAATTGCATAGGTAAAAAAAAAAAAAGAAAAAAAAAAAAAAAAAAAAAAGGAAAAAAGGAAAAAAAATGGCGGCTGGCACTCTTTTTTCTCATTTTTTTCCTTTGCATCGCCCAGCACGCTTGAGCCGGGGCAGTACATGTTGCAGCACATGACCGGCGAGGCGCAATTGCAGCTGCTGCGCGGTATGGATGAGGCGCCCACGGGTGAAGAACAGATCTTGGACTTGCACGCCCCCTTCAAGCCAGCCATAGCTTCCCCCGAGTCCGCGTACGTGCCAGCCTGGAACTTCCACACCGCGTCGCAGCAATTGCCCTGGACATTCACGCCGCGCCCGGCATAAAGCCGCTCATTTTTTTCTGTAACATCATGATTTTACCTTATTCCCCATCATTTTGCATCCATTCGAGATTAAAAAAAGCTTCCAGGTTAGTGCCAAGCGGCGCCAAAAAAAAATGCGGGCTTTTTACGCAGACCAACTTTAATGCGCCATTATTTCCTTTGCACATGTCTGGTTGGCCACAAACTTTGGAAATGGACCATACTTGACGGTTTGATGGGCATGGCGCTCATTTTTGCGCGCGGCAAAAGGCGTTTGCAGGCGAGTTTTGAGAGAAAATGCCCAAACAGCGCTTGAGTCGGAGTCCACTGGATTCCTAATTGAGTGCAAATTTCCTAAAAAGGAAATTTCGCTAAAAATTTGCTCCTGGGAGTCCAAAAGTGTTTGGTCCGACACTGGTAAGGTGGCCGAGTGGTTAAGGCGGCAGCTTTAGGCGCTGCTCTCGAAAGAGGCGCGAGTTCGAACCTCGTCCTTGCCAATATTTTTTCTTTTTTATTTGCCATTTTCTTTTTTTTTTTTGGCATTTTTAGCGTAAAGCGCGTCGAATGTCAATCAATGTTGGTCCGGAATGGCTGGACGAGCGCGTGCTTTAATGATTATCACGACGCGTTCGTACTTTTTTTATTGTCAGCCGTCGGATCACGAAATATTTTGAGTTTTTTGTTTGTGTCGCACGCACACGATCACCTCCTTCTTGCCGCTGCGCGACATGGTCAAGAAAAAGAGAGGGATGGGGCTAATAGCGAAAAAGCAAAGAAAGGCGCGGAACATCAGTGATTTTGAACAATGCGACGCGTCTTTCAGAGTGATGATGATTTATGCTGACGATCCAAGAAACTTATGACTAATACAAAAGTTAAAATTGGCGTCCGTGCATCAAATTTGCGTGACAAGGCCAAAAGCATCGAGTGCGCGGGCATGCGGCGTTCGTGTCGACGCGCCATTGTTCTTTCGGAGGCGTCGTTGCATCGACATGTTATAAGCAACAGTAATAAATACGCGAATCGCGTGCAAACCCTTGATCACAGAAAAAAAAAAAAAAAAAGGAACAATGACACTGACAATGCTACACACCAATGGCGCGCACTATAGGTACTATTTGAATGGGGTTTTTATTGGCACATCGTGCTAAGAGAGAGGCAAATCATGAAAAAAAAAAGAAAATGGTGTGCACATTAAGGATATGGGGGGACGTGGGGGGGAAATGGGCGCAAAGGGGATAAATCATATGGTGCGCAATTGGGGAGGGATCATGGACCTTGGCGCGCCTCGGCGCGGCGGATGCTGGCCATCAAATTTTTCTTGAGGCGCTTTGCACCAAGTTTTGTCATTCGCGCAATCCATAGCTTGAGCACAGCTTGAGTCGTCGCGCGTTTTGCCGTATTGACATAATACTTCAGCACTTGGATGTTTCCCATGACGTATTGCCCGCCCTCGCACTCTGGGACAATGCGATCGAATGATAAACGATCATGCGCAATACGTGTCTTGACAACGCTTGAATCGGGCAAATTCTTGAAGCTGCCAGCGCTCTGGGTGAGGGCGCATCGGCCTTTGCTTGCAGTCGCCGCGGCCAGCAGGACATCTGCCGAGCATTGCTTGATTTTGGCGAGCTCGGCGTCCTCCTTATCACCAAACAGATGATCGAGCAACTTACAGGCATCAAGGGGCTGCAGGTCCGACAAAAGCCTAAAAAAAAAAAAAAAAAAAAAAAAAAGGCATCAAAGAGTGAGCGACTTTTTCCTTTGATGTACCCCAATGACCAAGGTTCGTACATATTGCATGTCAAGCAGAATAAGCTGAGATTGGTGGCTATGTAGGCGATTCGCGGGTCGTGGCGTTGCATTGTCGCGCGTTTGGCGTCAGCGCCCTCCTCGGCGAGATCTTCAAGTCTTTGAATTCGCATTTAATTTTTTTTTTTTTGACTCGCAAAGCTGGCAGGTGCTGTGATCGTCTTGGACCACGCATATGATCAAATCCGTGAATTCCGGGCGACCGAGTAACGGGGTGAATTCTTCCAACTCATCCTAGGATGCCTTGGGATGCTTCTCGATGTAATATTGACGCAATGCAATATTTTTCGCACGCATTCGTTCAGCTATAATCGCGGTGATAGCGGGCGAGTGCGTGTGCGTGTGCGTCTAATGTAAGGGACAAAATTAGCTGCCTAATCCATGTACCACGCTTTTCTTCTCTTTTTTTGTACCTTGCCCGCTTGGATTGCGCGTTCGACTTCCTCGCGATTCTCGAGCAAGCATTTTGTGCACATTGCGTTTGCTTCGCCTTCCACGAGTCAAAATCAGTCAGCGGCAGATGCACATGGCAACGTGTTCAAAACTTGTGGCCATTTTTTTTTTTTGGCTTAGAAATTGTGTCAGTTGGCATTGATTTCCTCTATTATTGTTTCTTTTGCCATCAAGCTTACCTCTTGCCACGCCATCAATCTGCATTTTTCGCACGTGCTCAACTCAATTTCCTTGTCTGACATAAACGAGCTGCGCGGTCGGTGTCGCCTTTTTTTTTATATGATACCTTTGACTGTGGCAATATGAATAGAGGATCGTCGGATGCGACAGTCACTGGTCAGCCAGAGTCACTAGGGCGGGCAAGAAAGTCATACATATGCGGCTGATTCACTCGACGCGCCGAGCTTGTGCTCGATTGGGCTTCAACTTGTAGAATTGAGTCCCCACGCTCGACAAACTCGTCCATACGGGGCTGCTTTGGCTGTCGTGTTGTGCTCGATGGGGCTCGGCCGAGTCGCTGCGCACGAGAAAATCATGCGAGCGTCAATGCTTTTGGCGTTTCGTAGCTCCAGAGGATGCTTCTTCTTCCTTGGATGGCACTGTTTGGGGAGTTTCTTGAATAAAATGAGTTTCCACTTGTCAAGACGCCTCGCGTCCGTCTTTTCTCGTGTATTTCCTTTTCTTTACCCCGTCTTTTTGGTGGAATAACTGGTGCCTCACGAATTGCAATGGATACATGTGTTGGGAAGTGCGCAGATGGCAAAGATGGTAATGTAGAGGGGGGTAAAAAACAAAGAGGAAAAGAGGGAAAGAAGAGGAAAAGTGAAAAATGGATGGCGCGGTCCGACTACATATCCTATTTCCAGGCACCCGCAGCTTTTTGGGCAATCGGCTAACCCGTCGCCTTTTTTTTTTTTTTTTTTTTGTTCACCGACCCCAAGCGTCCATTTTTTAAAAAAAATAGAGTTGAAAGCGAGCCTGGTGGCCCCCATTGCAAAACCAAAGGACACGTCTTGTAAAACCAAAGGACACGTCTGACCAGCAGCCAACATGGAACGAGGTCGCAACAAAGCAAACTCAAAAACGCGTCCTATCAATAATATTTGGCGCGTCTTTTCAATGCGTCTAGAAAGGGAGCTGCGCGACGCGCGCACAGACTTGGATTTCTCTTTTTTGTGTTCCTTTTGCTCACAAACCAAGAAAAAAAGGAAAGTGCGGCGCACGATTTGTTGTTTGTGCTACTCGAAGCAAGATTTTAATGCGCCTTGCTGCAATTTGCGAGAATTGAGCATCCGGGTGAACCAAAAATCATGCAAACTTCATTCTTTCTTTTGCTTTGCGCTATTTTTTTCCCTTTTTCATTCTTTTTCATCCTTTTTTTATTATTTTAGCCTCGATGGTCGTTGTATGGCTGGCCAAATCGCAAATCTGAGGCGATGGTGTCTTATAGGACGGACGCGCGTAAAATAAAAAGGGGAATCCAGCCATTTTATTTGTCTTCATTTTTTCTAGGTTGCCCTCACAGCTTGGAGTCGCTGATTTCGGCGATGGCGACGACGAGGTCGCCCATTTCCACGAGATCATTGGGATTGGCATGGATGGCTGCGACGCGGCCGTGGATTTGGCTCTTGACGACTGTTTCCATCTTCATTGCGCTGACCACGTAGATTTGCTGGCCGGGTTTAACAACGGCATTCTCTTCCACATTGATTTCCACGACCATGCCAGTGACGGGTGCGCCCACGTCGCCCGGTTGTTGTGGGTTTGCCTTTGCGCGCATCTTGGATCCTGCGCCTGCGGCCTTGCGCGCGAGTGTCATGCTAAACGATGGCTGCGACGGCAGCGTCGAATTGATCCGCGCCGTGAATTCGTCCGGGAACCGGTTCACATTGATCGTGTCCACCTGGAACGTGTGTGCCGCCGTGACGTTGCTATTGTCGTCCAACACAGACACATTGAACGCGTCGCCGGGCTTGAATTGCATCAGGCCGCTGCCGCCAGCACTTGCACTGCCTGCTCCAGGCAAGGTGCCCGCGCCACTCGATGCAGCAAGACGCTGATGTCGCTCTTGTTGCATCTTTTGTCGCCGCAGCGCCCAAGGTTTGCTCGCTTCCAACAGACGCGGCATCTGGCGCTCGAGTGCGTGCGTGTGGCTGTGCCGCAGCCCATCCGCCATGTACTCGCGGTCAAGCACAAGCGCCGTCAGGAAATCCAGGTTGGTGTCGACGCCCGCAATTACCGTACGCTGCAGCGCTCGCGCCGTCTTGGTTAACGCGTCCTCCAGCGATCCGCCCGTCACAATAATCTTGGCCAACAGCGAATCAAACGTCTAAATGAAAGAAGGTAATGAATAAAGAGCAATTCGATTGAAAAAAGAATATTTCCGCCTTTTCTTTGCTTTTTTTTTTTTTTTTTTTTTTTTTTTTTACAGGCAAGACAGTGGCTCCCGGCTCAATCCACGTATCGACGCGCACGCCAAAGGCGCCATTGACTGGAAAAGCAACGTCGGCGATCTGGCCAACAGAAAGCATATGATTGTTGGCAGGATTTTCGGCGACGACGCGCGCTTGGATGGCCACAAGCTGGCGTGCAGCCGCAGAGCGGACAATGGCATCCTGATGCAGCGCAAGATCCTTGTGCAGATCAGCGCCGACGGCCATGAGAAGCTGTGTCTGCACAATATCGACATTTGTGATCTGCTCGCTGATCGTATGCTCCACTTGCACGCGTGGATTCACCTCCAAAAAGTAGAATTGGTCGCCAGAAACGAGGAATTCGACCGTGCCCACGGAATCGTACTTGATGTACCGCGCAAGCTGCAGCGCCGCAGCTTGAATTGATGAACGCATGACATCAGGCAAAAACGACGGCGCAATCTGGCATGGAAAAAAGAGAGAGAGAGAGATTGAGTCGCCATTGGCATGAGTTGCACCAAAAAAAAAGGTTACCTCGAGCACCTTTTGGTATCTGCGTTGGATAGAACAATCGCGTTCGAGCAGATGAAGCACATTGCCGTGGCGATCGCCCACGATTTGCACCTCAATGTGTTTGGCATCGATGACGGCTCTTTCCATGAAAACCTGCTTGGACGGAGACTCATTGATACACCGCTGGAACGCGTCATTTGCCTCAGCGCGCGTGTGCACGAGACGGATGCCACGGCCACCGCCGCCATCGCGTGCCTTGAGCATCAGTGGATACCCATACACGTCGCCAAACGCGTAAATTTCGC